ATTATTTGTGTTTATCTCTTTTGTTTCAAAGATCTTAACGAAATGGAAATTTGCTTCTTATTGTTGAGTCAATCAGTCCACAAGTAAATTTTACTTACATATATATGTAAATTTTTACCCGTTAAGGTTAATTAATAGTTATGCGTTTCTAATTTTTCTTAAGCAATTAAAAACTGAAAAATTTTGAATTACACGTATATCTGCATCGGTATTATTTGCTTTTAATGGAAATAATTTCTCACTTGCTAAATAATTGTGGTTTTATATTCTTTTGACTTATACCAAAGTCACTAATGGGCTAGTATTACGCATTGAAGGCAGTGGGGAAAAAGTAAGAATATTTCCTCTACATCGGGGCGATTGATTGTTTATCAGCTTAAGGCAATTTATGAGCCGGAAGTGTGCAATACACAGAATTACATAGGATAGATCCTGCTTTTATTATGGTATCATTCTGAACTATGTTCTGAATTGATTTACGTTTCGTCTCACCATCCGTTCGTCTTGGGTTTTTTGTGTTCTAACTACCGGCCGCAATTTTTGAGATATTTTAATGAAATTTCGAACACTGGAGTATTTTGGCTCAAGGACGAGCGCTATTGAAAATGATTCGGATCGGACCACCTTTTTGCCCACTTCCCATATAGCGCCTCACTTAGCTGCATTGAACGAAGTGATGTAGAGCACTTAATGGTGGGTCTAATTGTAGTGTCTTAATTAAAAAAGGCATGCTGATAGAACTAAAACATCCCTTTGAGTAGCGATTGCAATAATTCATTAATTTTCAAAGTGAGGCGAATTCATGCAAATATAAAACAAATTTTCTTCTCTATAGACACCACCGCAGGCACAATGGAGTACTAAATTTCAAAATATGTTTCTATTAGCTTATCTTACCATTGTTTTTTAATTTATTGAAATGCAAAACTTGAAAATCCTCGCAACAATTAAAAATGGACATACCCCACTTTCCAAATATCCGGCTTATATAAAAGAAATTAAATGGCGTATCAATTAATTGAGAAGAATCTTTTTAGTTACATTTTTAGTATCCAACGCGTGGAGGACATCCCCTGGATAACTGGTCATTCAAAAGAAAGAAAGGTTTTAAGAAGAAAGTTTTGCCCCATTATTGTTCCCTATACCTTTTGTATTACAGGCTACATTGAGTTTGCGCGGACGTATGTAACATCTAGAAGAAATTAACATAACCTTTTGATTCAAGATAAAATTCCAAATCAATCTAAGCTTGCTTGTTCGGCTGTGCATCTGTCCGTCTGTCCATCTGGTGTCTGTTCAGGTTGCAATTTTTGAGATATTTTGACGTCACAAGGACGAACGCAATTGAAAATGATGCGGATCGACCCACTTTTTCCAACACGAAGGATTGTCATAACGTTTGTAAGACGCAAAAAGACACTTCAAACGCCTTTTAACGTATATACTTATTATTGATTAACATCAAATTTTGAATCAATTGTAGATGGATATTGCTGACTCTCTCCTGGGCAAGAAAACGAAGATATCATCGACAAATTTGACAGAAATATTAAAAGTTTTTGCCGAAAGTAACAGACTAATCTCTTTGCCACTTTTGAAAACAGATAGTTACTGTTGACCGTGCCTTCACTAAAATGACCTAAGTGCATCCTCCGTGTCCCCTTCCTAGTTAAATGGTATTATTCACTCGCCTTCGGCTTTATAAAGAGAGATAAACCTAAATTTTTCCAACACTATTTCCATAAACTTTACTTTCATTAAACTCAGCCTATGAAGATAAGACTATGGGTTTATCGACTTGCTTAAGCTCCTTCGCATTTTTCTTTGTTTGAACTTTTTTGAAATGCTATCATCAAAGCAACTCCCATTAGTATGCGTGTAAATTAACTTTTAATCTCTAAAGCTTCGTATGACGATGAAGTAAACATATTCATTATTATCGGTTGCCAAGTATTTTCATTTTTGCATCGGTGTTCATTCCTATCTCTGATCCACATCAGATGCTACTCTGTTCAGTGTCAAATATATACCAGCTTTTTCCTTCTATATATCTTCTTTTTCTTCCTCTTACTTGTTTATACTATGATTTTGTTCTTTTCACTCTTTCTTTACTTTTCGCGCTCTATGAAAGGCAAGCAGTAACGTAGGATATATTGTAAAGAGTATATTGGATGACTCAATAAGATTCTTGCCTAGCACAAATATGGCAACGTTGTTGGCAGAAACAGATGATTTTTACATGGAACCAATCTTTAAACGATGCTTGTCAAAATTTCATGGTATTTTTTGTTAGCTTATAAGATATCAAAAGACTTCCCATTCAATATATTGCATGAACATATGAGAGATCAGTTCGAAGTAGGTTCTACGTTTGCTGCCTTTTAACCAAAAACAACAATGTGTTTGACGGTTTTTAGGTTTAGGTTAGGGTTTTTCGTACGATATAAATATGACGTTGGATGAATCATAGATTCATCACTGCACAGTTGAGCATGCAGTCAGCCGAGTAGACAGCGACTGGAAAAAGCCTTTCAAAGCTATCCGAAACGCAAAATCGACGGCAAAGGTTAAGTTGTCGACATTTTGTGCTGCATAGATTATAATGTTCATCAACCATTAGGGAAAGGGACGAAAGCTAAATGCTAGATATTCTATATGTGGCATTACAAGTGCGTTTGAATAACAAAACTGCAAAAAACGGCAGGCTAGGCCGGAGACTTATTGAGTGATGTGATACTGAATTCGGCTCTTATTTCATCTGAATTTCGTGTGTAAATAAGTAACTAAATAAAATAACTACAAAATATCTTAAGTATTAGCAAAATTGAAAGTAATTATTATTAGTAAGGGCGCTTGCTGAATTGCATATTTTCAGCTTGATATTAAATGTAGTTTGCAAAGTAGTTTGCAATTTTAGTCTTTTTAAATGAGCCGGATTTGACACCGGAGGTTCTTCCGCAGCTCTGGCGAAAAACGTGAAAAATTTGGGAAAAATATTCTTACTATAGAGATGATTGTGGAACTGCATGTAAATGAAATTATAATAATATTTAAAAATATAAATTTAATTAATAAACAGCTGTCAACCATACCATGCTAAATGAAGCCTGTAATCTAGTTTCAAATTTTTAAGTTCATTGTTGGGGAATTAAATGATGGATCTTCCATGATTCATATGTTGGTTTTTCATTGGCATCAATAAGACAGATAGGACGACAGACGGCCAGACAGAGTTTGATAACGATCATTAGTATATATGTATATTTTAAAATATTTTAAAAAACTACAGTGGAGACGGGAACATTTTCAGAATGCAGGCGAGGAAGTGTCAATACAGTGGAAAGAAACTGTGCTTCGAAAGGCACGACGCCTGGAACACCATATAAAACTGCTAAGATTTATTGTTATTGGAAACACGTTGTTGACGTTTTGCTCGTAAACGGGACAATCTAAAGACCTAGGTGGATAACATTGGCTAATTCTAAAGAAAAAAATACACTTTTGGGAAATGCACTCTATTTTCCGCTTCATTTGAAAGGTCGCGAAACGATAAATTAGTTAGTTCGTATATTAAATAGAATAATGCTTTACTTTAAGCAAAACTCAAAACGTCGTTTGGTCGAAATAAATCGCTTGCAATTAGTTATCAAAATAATTATTTATTTGGTAATTAGAAAAAAAATGTGTTAGTTATTAGCCGGCTCATCCACCTCATTGATGCTGTCATTAATGCATTGAAGGTTCTCAGAGAAACGATTTACTTAAAGAGGATTTTTCGTAGATCGAAAGGGAAATAAAGAGTGATTTATTACTTTTTGATGCTTCTGTTGACGTAACAGTAGTAGCGCCTTTACATTACCAATTTTTTTATTTGCTTGCTCTTTCATTCTCGTTATCTATTTGGGCAAAAGTTGTATTAAAGGTTTGCTAATATGACGTCACGCTTTGTTAGATGCTTGCAAAGCAAGAGCAAATAGTACTCTGCCTAGTTGGGTGCACATACGCTATGACATACATACATATATGTGGTTGATATTAAAAAAAATATTTAAAACCTGCTAAAAACGACGTAAATTTCAAGCTCTGGTTTAAGCTTACAAGATTACATATATGCGTGCAGTAGAAAGCGATGTTGAGATCGCCCGCGAAGATGAAACAGACGTACCTGAAAGATCTATTATGAAGTATGCGAAAAAATAGGCGTTGCAATATATTACAGACCTTACCGTATATGTAGACATCTTTAGAGAAAAAAGACGCCGCAAATAAGTTTTATTTTTATGACGGAGCTTGATTTGACTTTAGACAAAGAGTCCACAACTTGCATGCGACATAAAAACTGTGGCCCAAAAAAGACACATTTACAGAACTCTGGGAACGAAGTGTCTAAAATACAGGAGTATTACTGCGAACTCTACTTAGTAGAATTTTACGAAAATAAACATAATTCAGATACTAAAAGATTCTACCTCGACAAAATTGCAGAGACAATAAAAGGTTAGTTTACGACAGACGACGAATGCAGCGGGGACAGGCGTCACTTACTGAACTTTACGTTAAGGGTCTTGATATACAAAGTTTCTAAGTTCTTGGCCGATTTACGCTATACTAATCGAAGAGGTAAAAAAAACTCAAACTGCATAAGTTGCGACAAAAAGTTAGTCTTTCATTAATAAGAAAGCTATTCATTCCAGAAGACAAACCTGAAAGATGATCTTCTGAACAATAGAAATTTGATCTACTTTAGGTTCTTCCTCTATGTTGGCCCACACTTGATTTACTCTCTAGTCTCAGGAGGTCTTGTTATTTAATTCTCTCTTGTATGTATCTCAATCTTCTTCCACACAACAAATCATTTTTGATTGCTTTTCAAAGAAAGAGAAAAATGCAATACGTGCGCAAAATAAAAACTATAGTTTATTGAATAAATAGACATTTTTGAATTAGTTGTCACTAAACCATTGTTCAGAGCGGAAGTAACAATCAGTAACAATCAATTACCTGAAATAAAGAAAAAAGTTTTTTTTCGTAAATAAATTAGAGTGAAATCTAAACAAAATGTTTCAAAACTTTTATTTAGTTTATTGCATTTTACATATGATATGGCTGGCAAGAGGGAACGGGTAAGTTGAGGGATTTTTTAGTGTTCATTGAGTCATCATTTTTACAGATTCTATAATTTCCTTTGGGTTTTATTTCATATTGCTGCCGCTTATTATTTAATGATTGTGTTTTGAAAATAATCTCTGTATCAGTACGACTGCACTTTCAATACGAACTGAAATAAAATTAGCTAATAATGCTATTTAATCAGATAATGGCATCGCTTGGGTCAGTCAAATTGAGATATCAAAGAAAATCATTAGCCAGAAAGAAATCTAAAACCTACGCTAATACCGAGAAATATTTAGTCTGTAGTAAGAACTAAGGGAATACATGTCCTCACTAACGTTGAATATTTCTACGATTCTTACCTAAGCTACTACCCTCAGTACGGTATTTCGGCACATTTAATGAGACACTTGTAGCGGATGGAACAATTATTTGATTCCTGAAAGTAAGCCTTGATATGGCAGAAAGGTCTAATTTTTAATATTTTCTTAGGAAATTTGATCCTAATAATAAATAGGCGTAACAATCAATTGTGCAAAACTTCGGCCGCGAGGGTTTTTTTTTTTGTTTATTTTAAGGATAAATGCGGTGGGAAGAGAGGATTCGGTCGCTGTCGAGTATAGGTTTCTTACATATTTGATGAGAAACTAATCTCAAGGTTCTCCCATTTGCTTAACTTGGTTGCTCTACTATAAGTACTTCTGTTGTAAGTACAAGGGCTTTCAACATTTTTTACACAAAATCTTTTGTACGACGTTATCAGCCGGAAGGTCTTTTTGATTGAAAAGTAGTTGTATTGAAATATATTGAAAAAAAAAAGTTCTGTTTTTAAATTCAACCCTTTCACACCCCTTTAAGGAACATTATTTGTAACGATGCGACTGTTATGTCAGAATGAAGCGTTTGGAATATCGAATTAGCGCTGCATACACTCTCAGCGTGTTCCGTACAATTCTGTAATTGTGGTTATCATATAGCCGAGATTGCTTCAGATTTACCTATCGTTGTTGAGGTTGAAACAGTTTGGCTTTTATATATAATTATTTTTGTGAGCATCATGCGTCTCGATGTTTCTTTGGTATTTCCTGCAACATCCAGGATATTTTTTGCATCTTTAGCATTATAACTAATGTGTACAGTCAATGCCTTATTTATTATAGTTTGGTATAACCAGAATTTTTTTCTTTACAGGGACGTTATAAAGAAGTATTGTTATTTCTAAACGCCTTTCTTAATAGAAAAGTCCGGATGTAATGACAATTTTTGCCCTTGATTACATGCTACTTACTGACATATTCTTTACCCCCGTTGCACGATTCTCGTAGAGAGTCAGAGAAGAACACGGTTGTGTTCCATTCGTAAATGAATTATATTTTGATTTCATCATCATGATCGATCTCATGTCACAATAATGCTGTTTCAATTTCTCTCATTGTTGTAACGCCATTATTCGCCAAGAATTAATTCTGCTATGAACATACCATTGATATTCGATATGCCTTCTGCCAATCTTTGGGTAACAAACTATGAGACGTAAATATACGACGTAAAAATACGAAATTAAGTAGACTTTTGCTTTGTAATTGTTTCGTTCAGTGCTAGATCATATCAAGAAACAATTAACAGCATTGCTGACCCAAAAATAACATGAACAAAAGAGTCAAATGACTGCTTCTATTGACAACGGAAACATCAAATGTCGCCGAGTCGTATACCATCTTTGACTTTGAAAAATTTCATTGCATACATTCATGCATTTCCTTAAATGCATTCACACTTTTATGCTTTACTTGTTGTATACACACTTTTTACACAATGGATACGTTCCCATAAAATTCGTGCAAAAAAAATCGTGTAAAAAAAATTATGTAAAAAAAGATATTACCTAGATCGGTTCCAGACCTAAAAGAGCAAACGGAAAGTACACTAAACATTGTTAAAAAATTCTGATTAGAGTTCACATAAGAATTTATTTCGTGCTTACACATTTTAATTTAGTAAATATATTACAAAAAATCAATGATGTTTTGAAAATTTCGTAAAGGAATACATTACGTTTTTACTCTATGCATAATTTGGGGAATTCCACTCGTATACGCATATAATCAACATAATCTAAATGAATTGTGAAAAATATAATGCAAAGTTCAAAAAAAAAATTCATCAGAAAAATTCATTGAAAAAAAAATTCGTTGAAAGAAAAATTCATAGAATATCGGAAACCGTTTTAAAACAAAACCGTTCGTGTAAAAGGAGAATTTTTTCTTTTTAACTCATGTTAAACCGAATCTCGTGTTAAAATATTTGTGCTAACAGAGAGTTAGGCGGATATAGGATTAATAGTTTGTGGGCGGCAAAAACACCAAAGCGAAAATGGTTAGCGTAGCTTTGATTGCTTCACTAAAAGGAACAAAACAGAATTAGACAAAAGGGAAAAAATTACAGTGCGTTCGGCAGAAAAAGTCTAATTGGTAATCTCATTAGTATCTCCTGGATAGCTTGGTGGATTTTAGATCCTTCCTTGCGAAGAAAATCAAAATGGTGAAGACTGCTAGTCCACTCTCCTGTGTTTTCAGTTAGGAATAGCTAAGGGTTTCTTAATGAACAAACCCAAACACTCAGGTAGATATAGAAATTCTGGGTGGCGAATTCTGCTCTTTAAACATTTTGAATTCTCCCCTGTAGACACTTCCTTAGGTTAGGAACCCAAGCATTGTCACTACCGTAGTATACAACAGCCTCTTTTTACTGAAAAGGCAAGTCAAAAAACTCCTGCGTTGGTTTTTCTTCAACACCTGCGAACACACTACGATCGATTTTAGCATCTTTGAAAATATTTCATTTTCCTATGACATCCTCAAATATATTAAGTTTTTTTTAGCATCCAAGATATCGCGTTTTTCTTTACATCTTCATCATCTATTGCACAACTTTACCACGGCCTTGAAATAGAATGAATAGATCGATCATACGTCCTTTGCAAGTTTTTCTTGTGTGGTGTACTTTTTTTATTCATGAGAAACTTTAGAAGACTTTCTGGTCCAGCTTCCATAGCAGACTATGATATTTGCTTTATTGAAAGCTAGATGCATAGAAGTAGGGTGTTAGTTGCCTCTTTTAAAATGGACGGTTATTCCTATATTTTGTAATACCGTTTTTTTCTAACTTTTCCGCTTTTTGTTTTCTTTCATTTTTAGAATTTATTCTATTGTGGCTCCGAAAACCTTGCAATCCAATCACAAATATTCTGTTAGCGTTACTTTACACGATGCCAAGCAACCGGTTAAATTCAATATAGGTATTACCGGGCCATCTTATAATCATTCGGAAGTTGTGACTTTGTCTGCGATGGAAACCACTCAAATAGACTTTGTTTTACCTAAATTAGATGCAGGTCCATATCGCTTAATTTCCAAAGGAATTGAAGGGTTAGACTTTGAAAATGCTACAGAGTTACATGTCGCACAGAGTACGACAAATGTTTACATACAAACGGACAAAGCGATGTATAAACCGGGAGATATAGTGCAATACCGCATTTTAATTTTGGATGAAAATCTTCGACCTACAAAACTGAAGGAACCTTCTTTAAAAGTGACTATTAAAGACCCAGAAAATAACCTTGTAAGAGATACTAAAAATGTCAAACTCATTAAAGGCGTTTTTAGTGATAAACTTCAGCTTACTGAACAGCCCGTTCTGGGTTTATGGAACATTGAAGTTAGTTTAAAAGATCATGTGAAAATGACAAAGGAATTTGAAATAGCAAAGTATGTGTTGCCCAAATTCAGTGTGGATATTGATACAGTTACAGATTTGGTAATCACTGAGAACTTTTTAAAGGCAACGGTTCGTGCAAAATACACTTACGGTAAGCCAGTGAAGGGTAAGGCTACTGTGCGTGTGTCGCCTGTAAACTTGGAGAAAACTATAGACGTGAATGGCAAAGGCCATGTGGAATTTGATTTACAAAAAGAATTAAAATCGGCGCTTAAAGGAGGATTCGTAGAAATTTTCGCTGTGGTTCAAGAAGAACTAACTGATAATCGGCAAAATAATACGATTATCGTAAATCTTCATAGTTCCCAATATACAATCAAAGTACCCAATGCAGTGCGAGAGTTTGAACCCAATAAACCATTTGAAGTAAAAGCAGTTATTAAATATATAAACGGCAAACCAGTTCAAGATGCCAAAAATCCAGCACTTCTGCAGTGCTCCCAAGGGTGGGAGGAAAATATTAAGTCTGAAATATTTAAAGCTAAGTTAGATGACCACGGTGAAGCCACATTTCAGGTCAATCTGCCAGAGCCAAGCGTTTATCGTTGTGAAATCGAATTTGCTGACAAAACTGTTCAACTTCCTCCTATTTATCGAAAAATAGACGAAGATTCTGTTTGGATGGCCCGTGAACTAACCCTTTCTTTGGTTAACAAAACGTAAGTTACGCAGAAATAATTCAAAGAATTAGTTTAGAAAATTATTTATGCTCGATTTCATGTACGCGTAGTCCTCGCGTAGGCGACGATGTATCAATATCAGTAAAAGCACCCAATCCTTTATCGTATTTAGTGTACGTAATTGTAGGACGAGGTAACATTTTGCAGATGAGAAACATAGCCTTGTCTAATCCGCAGAACTTCTACACAATAACTTTTAAGAGCACCTTCGAGATGATGCCTAACGCGCATGTATTTGTTTACTATGTCGATAAGGGTGATCTAAAGTTTCAAGAAATTGACGTTAAAATTCAGCCGGAATTTGAGAATAAGGTAGAAAGAAAGTTTGGCTGCATTTTAAAATACTTTTATAATTTTTATAAATTCTTGCAGATTGAAATAACTGGTCCCAGTCAAGCGAAGCCTGGCCAAGAAGTTTCTTTGAATGTTAAAGCCGATCCGAATTCATATGTTGGATTATTGGGGGTGGATCAAAGTGTCTTATTATTAAAGTCTGGCAATGATTTGCATCTGCATGCTATACTCAATGATTTAAAACCTTACAAAAATTGGGAAGAGAACGAATGGCTAAGAAATACTTACAAAGTTCCTGGGAAAAAATCTGGTTTGCTGGTAATGACCAATTCCCATTATCCCTATCAAGGTAAACCATTTATTTGCAACAATTAAAGTGTAATTAAATAAAATGATTTTTTTGAATTTATAATAGTTTTATATATGATGGATTCAGCTCCTCTGTACCTACTACGTGGTCCTGTTGCTCAAACGACTTCTGTCAGTGCGTTTCGAGCACTTCCATCCGTCCCTTTGCCCGCACCTTTAATGCGTTCAGCGGAACCGCAAAGGATTCGAAAAGATTTTGCTGAAATTTGGTTGTTCGATAGTTTGGATGAGTGAGTATTTACATTGAATGCGCACTAAGAGCCCTAGTTCGTATCATCCTGAATCCTATATCCCTTATGCATGGGCGGAGATCCGGGCGATTTAAAAGAGACCTTCTGTAACAAAACCATTTGAGAAAGACATCTTCATTCATGCTGATGAATCAGGAATGTTCTGGATAAGTTACAAAACGTTTAAATGGCGGTAAAATGTAATGACATGATCGAGCAGTGTTTAAAAACAAAAAATGTAGCTGCTGTATAAACGAACACACCCGTAAAAGTCCGGGGCGGCGTTCAAAATATCGAAAGTTTCAAATAGGGTTCACAACAGAACATCAGTCTGCTTATGGAAGCGAAATAACGTCCCAGTTAAATGCTAAGTCTATTGTAGCATTGCCGACCCGTTCAGTAAATCCTTAAAAGATTCGAACATTTTTTACTAAAGACCTTTTCTGTGAAGAATCTGCGATTTTGAGTTTGCTGAAAACCGCTTGATTTTTCTGCTTTAGGTCTCTTCAAAAAGCTGATTGTCATCACACAAATTCTTCAAATTACTTTCATTCAGAACAGTTATCGAACAATTCTTTTCTCACGTAGAGGCTTGTGGGAGAAGCTGTGCTCATAAAAGTAATTTTTATTTTAACGAAAAATACACAATATGCGCTACTAATATACGATACACATTTTTTACTCGTTAAAAAACTTCATGCCGGCAATCAGCATCTTTTAAATATGTTCATAACTAATGCTCCCAAATATGTGTTCATAGGCGAACGGAATATATGTGAGTTTACTATACCCACCACTGTAAGATGGGGGTATACTCGTTTCGCTTTTTTCCATAATGTACGTAACGCCCAAAACGATGCTCCAGAGACCCTACAAAGTACGTATATTCTTCATCAGCGTGAAATTCTGAATTAATTTAATCCTATCTGTCCGTCTGCATGTCTGTACGGAGCGTGTTGTTGGCACTCTCCTGGTCGCGAAAATGAGGATATACGACTTCAAATTGTTAGAGAGATTGGAAGTTTTTGCATGCAAGTTAGTATTGAAAATTGGCCAAGTCAGCGGAAGCGGAAGCACACAGTTCAACGTGAATTGAACGTAACTTCGTTTTTTCAAACAAAAATCTTTGGATAACAAACAAAAATCCAAAGATTACTCGAAAATTACGCGTGCACCTCACGCGTTACTCATATACTTATTATGGCAATGCGTGTGTATGTATATATTTCTCTATACTAGAAAGTCTGCATGTTCCCATTGAATTCCTCTTGATTTCATTGCTTTCATTATTTTTGTCGCTTTTTAGTAACAATAAAACTGGGCTCTTGACATTGACAAAAACTTTGCCTGATACAATAACTTCTTGGGTAATCAGCGGTTTTGCGGTGAGCGAGAAAACTGGTTTGGGTATGACCGAGAAACCGTTCAAAATTAATGTATTTCAACCATTCTTCATCGATGTAAATTTGCCATATTCTGTAAAAAGGGGCGAAGTTATTGCGATACCAGTTATTATTTTCAACTACATGGATAAAACATTGGATGCAGAAATCACTATGGACAATACCGACAAGGAGTACGATTTCACCGAAGTGTCCAATGAAATTGAAGAATCCATTTTGAGCACGCAAAAGAGAATGAAACGGGTATCGGTACCTCCGAATAGCGGAGAAAGCGTATCCTTTATGATACGTCCAGCCGTAGTAGCAGATATAGAATTGAAAATTAGCGCTGCATCTCAGTTGGCAGGGGACGCTATACATAAAAAACTGAAAGTAGAAGCTGAGGGTGTCACCCAATACGAAAATCAAGCCCTTTTCTTAAATTTGGAGAAACCACAGAAAGCTTCGCTAGAAGTCGATATACCCCCGGAGGCTGTTAAAGATTCTGAATATGTGGAATTCTCTGTTGTTGGTGATCTCTTGGGTCCTACTGTGAACAGACTTAACGAGCTTGTACGTAAGCCCTACGGTTGTGGTGAGCAGAATATGGTTAATTTCGTGCCCAACATATTGGTCTTACATTACTTGGAGGCCATGCAGATTGATATGCCAAATGTAGCGAGCAAAGCTAAAAACTTCTTAGAAATTGGTTATCAACGTGAGTTGACCTATAAACACAGAAGCGGTGCATATAGTGCTTTTGGCGAAGATAGAAGCACGCCGAATACTTGGTTAACCGCTTATGTGGCTCGTTCCTTTATCCAGGCAACTAAATACACGACCATTGATGAAAAAGTTATCCAACAAGCTTTCGACTTCCTAATTGCTAACCAGGAGAAAAGCGGCCAATTTAAGCAAACTGGTCATCTCTTCAGTCCAACTCATCAGAATGACGTTGGATTCAATGCTTATGTGCTGTTGGCCTTCCTAGAAAGTGAAGTATGTTTACGAATATCTACCCAAAGCAAAACTAAATTAAAATTTTTATTCTCAATAGAAATACGCGGAGCTTTATCAAAAGCAGATTGAAAAATGCCTCGAATACGTAGTAAGCCAACTGGAGAATGAAAAGAATTCTTACGCTCTATCTATAGCTGCAGCTGCTTTGCATAAAGCCAATCATACGGCTGCGGATAGAGTGCTGGAAAAGCTACAGGCAGAAGCCAAGGAAGAAAACGGTTTCAAATGGTGGACTAGTGCGAACCACAATGATATTGAAATCACTGCCTATGCGTTACAAACTTTGGTTGACACGGAACCCATTAACCAAATTTTACCAATTATCAAGTGGTTAATCGGTCAACGTAACAGTAATGGTGGTTTCGACTCTACTCAAAACACTGTAGTAGGTCTTGAGGCACTTATTAAATTCTCTAAGAAATTTTCAATTACTGGAAACAGCAAAATGTCGATAACATTCAAAGCTTTTGACGATGGAAAGAAAGAACTTACCCAACATAGGTTTGAGGTGAACAAAGACAACTCATTGGTCCTCCAAACGCACGTGGTAAGAACAATTAATTCAAGCAGACGAACTACTTGTAAACTTTACCTTTATTTCACTCTTCCCTCGCAGTTACCGAAATCCACGCGTTCATTAAGTTTGGAAGCTGAAGGTGCTGGTTCATCGTTAATTCAACTTTCGTATCAATACAACTTGGCAACCAAAGACGATAGACCTGGATTCAAACTAGACATTAAGCCGAAAATTTTGCCATCGCAACAGCTGCAGATTAATATTTGCGCAAATTACCAACCGGCTGTTGACGATGAAATCAACGAATCGAATATGGCTGTCATGGAAGTTGCTCTACCGTCTGGTTATGTCGCCGACAGTGAGAAGTTGAACGATATACTTGCTGCCGACCGTGTTCAACGCGTCGACACCGAAAGCTCTGATACAAAAGTGATCGTTTACCTTGATGGCTTAGTGGAAGATGAACAAGTATGTGTTACTATTGTGGCAGACAAAGCTTTTGCTGTTGCTAAGCAGAAACCAGTTCCCGTCACTCTGTATGATTATTACAATAGTGCATACCGTGGAACCGAATATTATCGAATTGAATCTTCGTTGTGTGATATTTGCGAGGGAGATGATTGTGGAACTGCATGTAAATGAAATTAT